CCCCAAAACCCCAAAACCCCAAAACCCCAGCCTCTTAAATTGATCAAACTTCAAGAATTTTTAACTAGATTTAAAATGGATCATTAATTGTCGGAAAATTAGGAGTAGATATCACCAGTCGAATCTAAAAATGTTTATTTCATCAGAGGAAGCAATCATACTTAGCATTCCACTAAATGTGCTTAGCTCACCTAGTGGGTGGAAATTTCACTTCTGGAGTTGAAATTAACAATAGAGGAGCAAGTGATTGACGCATAGGGGAAATTTGATTATGACAAGGAGAATGAGTGCTGTCTATGCAAATGCGAATTGTACGATGACTTGAAGTCTTTGAATATGGAAATTGCTATAAAAAATCAGTAAAATCTAATCAGCAGTGTCTAAAAAGGTTCATCAGAAATCCTGGTTGTTAGGCTAGGATAATGCCAGGGAATGCATTTTTATCATAAGGAATGTATTGAGATGTAATTGAAGTAAAGTCCTGAGGACAACCCGTTCATAAAGTGTGCTGTGTGCAACAAAATTTATGGAAAATAAGTAGGTGATATGCCAAGTGGTACAATGAGTTGGCATTCAAAATCCTTTAGAAGTTGTCCTCTTGGAGGATTTACTGAAGAGTAATCACCTCATGTTATAATCATTCAGTACAATATTCCTTCAGGCAGAAATAAAGACGGCACTCAGTTTCATGGAACTTCAAGAGTAGCTTATTTGCCAGGCAATATTGAAGGAATTAAGATATTAACACTCTTAGCAGAGGCATTCAGGCGCAAACTTACTTTCAAAGTTGGAACCTCAATCACTACAGGGGCTTCTAACTGCGTAGTCTGGCAAGGTATTCATCATAAAACCAGTCCGACTGGAGGAACTAGCAGTTTTGGGTATCCTGACCCTACATACTTTGAAAGAGTAACTGATGAATTGAAAGGCAGAAATGTGACATTGGATTAGTTAACAAAGCCTGAGGATATTAAGTCGGGCTATATACAAGTTTGATAATGTCACAAGGATTAGAAGATACACTATAGATTTAGAAAAATATAAGATGATTAATTTTGATAAATACTCATTAAACATTTATTGCTCATATTAATTAATAGTAGTCATAATAAATTAAGAAGAATTCGATCAATCCAGTCACCTATCACTATGCATCTCACTAGCTTCAATTCAGGAGCTATCAACGAATGACCCTGGCAGGTAGATGTTCATGGATTGAGTGTGCAGGTGCAGTCTAGACTATAGATGAGTAGGTTTTGGCGTTATCGCATTCCTATCTACTCTCATTTCTGACTCTCCCTCTCCAAGCTCATGTGTTCAGATCTTGAGTTTCATAATCATATTAAGTTTAATGTCATTTGTGCTAGCTGTGTTGGCTGGACACATCAAGTTGCTATTGCTGTCACTCTGCTTCTCGAGGTTATCAAAGTTGTTTGCTTGATAGCTCTTGTAGGTTTTGTTAATAATACTCCTCTCGTCTAAGAACTTGGCTTCATCTTTTAATGCCTAGATCTCAGCCTCATCTTCAATACTTTGAAAGTCAAATTCATCCTGCTGAACAGTCTTGTCGCTGAACCCATGCTAAGCCATGTACTCAGCAAAGTTCTAGATCTTAGTGTGATGAACCACATTTTCCTATAGCAGCAAGTCGTTGTCCTCCACCAGTTAAGAACTAAATAGTCTACCCTTGTGAAGTAACTTTTCGTCATCATCATTTAAGTTCATGACGAAATGACTAGAATTCTGCAAGTCTCTTAGCATTTCCTCATCACTCTAAGCACTTTAGTTTAGTTTCAAATGCTTCGTTATAAACTCTGAGCCTATCTCCCAAAATGCTCGCTTGTAAGAGTTCTAATGCTTTATTGTCTTAATATCATTTTACTACGGTATTATTTTCTAAACGTCTCTAGCTGATTGAATTACTGTCGATTTTTTATTTTTCTTTTAACTGCTTTTCAATGTCATTTTATAGCTTTTCAGTCCTATCATCTTGGATAGTCCCTGTATTATGAATTTATCTTTATTTAGACTAGATCTGGTAGTTTATGGCTTTGGCACCTCGATCTAGTTGCTTATCACATTTATCATCTTATTGTTGAGTGCTGCAGGTCTAGGCTTCTTTTTAATGCTATTGCTGTTTTGCTTTGGATTTGGATGAAGATTTTTCATTGAAGACTAAGGTTGCAATTGAGTTTTATTCTCATGATTTACAGTGATGTTATTTTTGCTGTTTTTAATCACTGGGACTTGATTTCTGAAGAAGGTAGTCGACTTAGTCTTCTGCATAAGTCTATTAGTCACCTTATTCACCCATTTTTTTATTTGATTAGCATCCTTAGGATCTCTTGTTGTTGTTAGATATGTGCCGTTTGGTCCCATTCCTGCATTAGATACTGATTAATCCATTATTGAATCGTTAATTTTATTTTTAATCCCCAATGCAGTCATATTATCTCTAGTAGATATCTGGTTTGAATTGTGCTTTTTCTAAGTCTCTCTGAAAATTTTACGCATTTTAAGTATCTAGTTCTGAGAACTAATGGTGCTGCTCGATACTTACTTAATCTTTCTTTAATGATTAAGCTAAGTCTAACTTGCCACTCCATTGAGAGTATCATTATTGAGCTTTAGAAAATCATTTTTAACTTGGTCCTTGACGCTTATCAACTTCTAACCATTAGCAATCATTTTGCTAGTCTTTTTAAAAGAAGCAGCTGAGCTAAAACTTGCTTGACTAATATTATGCGATTAATTCTAGCTTTTCCTTTATTTGAATTAAGCATTAGTTCGTTTTATCTTCCCAATAATGAAACCAAGATTATCAAGACTGCGTTGATTTGTTAGCTATGTCTTCTTAACTTAGACAAAATTTGAAGTTATTGACTACTACTTATGTTTATTTTATGGAGGAGACTTATCAAGAATCAAATATGACTGCTTTCTCAAAGATTTCTTTTGACTGTGGCTTTGACTTATGCTGTTTCTCTTTGATTTGCCTTTGCTTCTACTTTTGCTAAATCACAACTTTTCATTGATGCTACTGCTAGAACTAGTGGGCATCAATCTTTTCCTTTCACTATCAAGTACTCGTTTATGCAATCCCATTTAACTTACTGGATGAGACTAAATCATCATGCTGCTATCTTTCATCATAAACTTCTGATTGTTCATTGTTCCATAATTACTTGTTTGTAAACTTGAACTTGGGACACTCTTTACTATTGTTTAATTTGGTAGGTTCTTTAGCATAATCTGTGAGGCAGGCAATTCAAACTTAAGTTGCTTTGCCTTTTACCTTACAGACTAGAACAATAAGATATCCTTAATTGTCGGCCTGTGAATGGGGTTTTTCCTCAGAAGCTTTTTAATTATTTCTCTAAGTTCTTTTGATACGATTAATTCCTCTGGAGTATCCTTATACTTTTCTTTTAATACCTTTTCTCTCAGCTCATCTTCAGTGTTAGCCTGAAATGGCTTTAGAAAAGTGCACATTTCATATAGAATGACTCCTAACGACCATATATCACTTTTTTCTGTATATGGCTTACCCTCCCAAATCTCAGGAGCTAGATAAAACGGTGTGCCTACTTTTGTAGTTTACTCAATTTCGTTAATCTTTGAATTCCCAAATCCAGATTACTGTTATTAATTTTGCTAGTTTTAGAATGAAGGAGTACTATCCCTAGAGGGAGAGGTGATATCCTGAAATTTCTTAGCCACACCTAAGTCTCCAATCTTCAACTGATTTTCCTTGCATAAAAAGATGTTTAAGGATTTAAGATCTCTGTGCAGGACGTTTTTACCGTGCAAATAGTTTACTCCAAGACATATTTGCAATAAAAACCTCCAGATTACTAATTCAGGTAGACTATTCAAACCTTCTTTTTGTCTCTTTAGCAGATATGTTTACAAATCTCCATTTTCACAGAACTCCATAATGATGTTTACTTTGGTATCGCAGATGAAGGAATCAATATATGTTACGATGTAGGGAGAATTCAGTGATCCCAGTATTGATATTTCCTCCATTGCCTGCAAAGCTGCATTTTTAGGCATCAAGTCGGTGTACAGCTCTTTGATTACATAAGGAATAGGCTATTTCACAGGATTAATCAGCTTTGAATCCTTTAATGACGTCTTTTAATAAGGAGCATTCTTAGCGGCTGATCCGAAAGCGTATGTCAATTGCTTGGATTTATTATTATCTGACTTGCAGGATAAACCACTTTTTAATTCGACTTATCCTCAAGTATCCACTTTTATATGCTTTCCCTTATTTAGAAGTAGGATTTGATCTCCTTTTTTGTAGACTTTAAATACTTTGCCATATGCGCCTTCTCCAAGTATTTTATCAATGAAATAGTCATCCCATGATGGTCCTGATCCTCCCGCATCAGCAGTTGATTGCATTTCGTTTTTAAATTCGTTAGGAGCGTCCATGAGTTTGTCTGGAGAAGGCATTTGTGGGCTTTTAAGCAGATTCTCATCATCTGGGTAGTCAAATTAATCAATAAAGGTGATTTTTGGAGTCTGATCCATTAGCAAGGAATCATCGTCCATCAAGTCATCAAACTCTAAGCCTTTCATTTCTAAATTATATAAACTGTTATTATTTAAAATAATCGATGCACTCCTCTCTACTAACACTTTCTCGTTGGGGTTTTGGGGTTTTGGGGTTTTGGGGTTTTGGGG